GGAGTCCGAGTCCGATATGCGAAGCTGTTATCCCCATCTTTTCCCCGACTCAGGTACTTCCTTCTTCTGTCCGTTCGAGGATGAACGGTTGTTTTAGATGTGGAGGATGTGATGACCCAAAAGCTCATCACTTGCTTTTAAATTAAAATCTGTGTTTCCTAGGCCTTGAAAACCTCATGTAGCATCACCTCGATTTGCGTGCTTAGTCCGGGCGAGTAGCCAGAAATCTTATATGTGAAAATATGTGAAAATGATAAATTTTGATTGTAAAATGAGTTAATTTGACTTCGGTCAATATTTTGGGTAAACGGACCCAGACCCATGATTTGACGGTCCCGGAGGGTCCGTTAGGAAAATATGGGACTTGGGTGTATTCCCAGAATCGAATTCCGAGGTCCCAAGCCCGAGAAATGAATTTTTAAAAGAACATTGTTTTTTGAAATTGTTTAAAGGAATTTGAAATGAAATTTGATTAGAACATGATGGTATCGGGCCCGTATTTTAGTTCTGGCACCCGGTACAGGTCTTATATATGATTTAAGATGATTCTGTGGAATTTGGTGAAAAACGGATGTCATTTGACATGATTCGGACCTAAATTCCAAAAATTTATGTTTTAAGAAGTTTGAGGAAGTTCTTTGGTTTTGAGGTTTAATTCGTTGTTATTGAGGTTATTTTGGTGATTTGATCGCACAGATAAGTTCGTATGATGTTGTTGAGTTAGTATGTATATTTGGTTAGGAGCCCCGAGGGCTCGGGTGTATTTCGGATGTGTTTCGGAAGGTTTTAGACTTATGAAAAGTTGCAGGTTTTTGTTGTTCAGTGCCTAGGGATTTTGTTCTTCGCGTTCGCGTGGATCCTCTCGCGAACACGTATGGAAAATTTCCCAGGAGCCAAACTTCTTCTTCGTGAACGCGAAGCTGGAGTCGCGAACGCGAGGCTAAAGAGGGATACCCTTCGCGAACGCGACACAGCTCACACAAACGCGATGGCTAGTGAGCCTGGGCAGGGGGATGGGCATTTTACCTATGCGAATGCGACCCATTGGACGCGAATGCGAGGCTCGAGGAGTTTCTTTTCCGCGAACGCGAAGGCTTATCAGTCCTAACCCATCGCGAACGCATTGAGTTTATCGCGAACGCGATGAGTAATTTCGCCCAGTTATTTTAAAAGACCATAACAGTAGCCATTACGGGATTTACACCAAAACTCATAACTTCTTCATCTTAACTCCAAATTGGACGATTTTCGAAAGGAGATTCCACCACCAATTCATAGGTATGTAATCTTAGACTCATTTTTCTTCAATTTCCATTAACACCCATTAGATTTCTAGGCTTAAATCATGTAATTAAGGGTAGAAAATTAGGGATTTGGGTAGAGTTAGGGCTTTTTGATTATTTGTGATTTAGACCTTGTTTTGGGATCGAATTTGAAAACAAATTTTATATTCGGGATCGTGGGTGAATGGGTGATCGGGTTTTGGTCCGAACCTCGTGTTTTGACCAAGCGGGCCGGGGTCAATTTTTGACTTTTTGGGAAGAATGATTTGAAAGCTATAATTAAGCATTGGAATTGGATTGTTTAGTGTTTATTGATGTTATGAAGTCGATTATGTATAGATACAATTGATTTGGAGCCGAATTCGAAAGGAAAGGCGGTGTTTGAGGCTTGAGTTGGCCGTGGAAGTTCGAGGTAAGTGTTTGGTCTAACCTTAGCTTGAGGGATTAGGAGTCGAGTCCTATTTGCTATGTGATAATTGTTGAGTACGATGTATAGGCATGGTGACGAGTATCTATACGTTGGTGTCAAGCATGCCCGTGAGTCTTATATTGTGATTTTCATGACTTT